CCCCCCCAACTACTGCTACACTTAGTGCTAACGCTACAACGGTTGCTACTACCACTAAGTACATTTCTACCGGCGTGACCCACTTATCCCAAGACTTCAATCAGTGTTGGCGGAGATGAGGGAGTCGGGGACTGGACAAATCCGCGGGAAAATGCCGATTAGATGGAGGTGTCATTATGGCATCGCTCATGAACAAATCAAGAACATTTACTCTTCTTTCTTTTAAGACACGTTTATTATACAAAAGAATTGCACTCTAGAATTTTTTTTTAAATGAAAAAAAAGTCTTCGTCGTTGTGGATGAAAACCCTGTTGTTTTATTTTTTCCACCCCCCCCAACCGCACACACTTTCCCCTCCAAAGCCACCGCTATAACTTTGTATATTCGTCTCATTTTGACTCTTCACTGTAGTCTTTTAGGCCCACACTTTATTCCCTATTGCTCCAAGTACATTCACTTTATGTAAATATTTTTTGGGTTGGGGGTGGAAAATCACTTCCGTCCGTCTCTCTATCCTGTTTGATTCTTCTTCCTACAACAGGTGTGATCAGTAGCCTTTTGTGTATGTGTTCTTTGTCAGATCCATCATCATCATCATCATCATCATCATCATCATCATCATCATCATCATCATCATTCATCATCATCCGGTGCCTTGTCGACTGGCGTGGGCGATCATGGACCTCCACTTCACTCTGTCTTGCGCTGCAGCGATGGTGTCTGTTGTTCTTGCTGTTCCCAGCCATGTTGTCAACTTGTCCTGTATCTTTTCCCTCTGTCTGCCTCTGCCTGTCTTTCCATCAAATTTGCCTGTTGTTACAATTTTCTCCATTGCTTCTTTCCGCATTGTGTCTTCAATGAAATTTGCCTGTCGTTTTCGTATATTCGTCATAAGTTGTCTGCAATTTTCTTCAACCAAGAGTTCTTCATTTGTTTTTCTAGCTGTCCATGAGATACGCAGCATGCGTCTTATGAACCACAACTCTGTCGCCTCAATTGTTCTTTCCAGCTGTCTATTGATTGTCCATGCTTCGCACCCGTATAATAGGATTGTCAGGCTACGGGTGTATCTTTTGTGTTATAAAGGAAGGTTTGTTATTTGTTGAACGGGCCAATGTGGATAACAACACAGAAGAGGTAACTGACCAACTGTGAGATGAAATGTCTG